TTTTCCCTCCCGGGAAGCGCAGCTCGGGGGTACCGCGATCGCTGTCCCCGGTGCAGCTGTTGGTGCCCGAATGTCACCGAGCCCCGCTTGCTGTGCCCTGTGCAGATGTTGATGCCCAAGAAGAACCGAATCGCCATCTATGAGCTGCTCTTCAAGGAGGGCGTGATGGTGGCCAAGAAGGACGTGCACATGCCCAAGCACCCCGAGCTGGTGGACAAGAACGTGCCCAACCTGCACGTCATGAAAGCCATGCAGGTGGGAGGGCACGGGGGTGGCACGGAGCAGGGATTGCCCAGAGAATGAATCCGTTTGGGTTTAGGGGAAATGGACATCCTTGAGTTAGAAAACAGCTGTGTAGCCTGAGTGGCTGTTCTGGTGAAAAGCCTGTGCTCAGAGAAGCTGCTTCAGTGGAGGGCTGAGATAAGGGGGGGAGGCAGGGGTGTGGGGGTCCCTGGGATGGTGCTGTTTGCATGAGAATTGTCCCTGTCCCTGTTCCCCTCTGCCCTGCTGACCCCCGGTGTGTGTGAGGAGCTGGGAGAGGCTGGAAATGGAGGTGACTGGGAGTAACTGGGATTGACTGGGAGTAACTGGGAGCTGTCCCCGCAGTCCCTCAAGTCCCGGGGCTACGTGAAGGAGCAGTTTGCCTGGAGACACTTCTACTGGTACCTGACCAACGAGGGCATCCAGTACCTGCGGGATTACCTGCACCTGCCCCCCGAGATCGTCCCGGCCACGCTGCGCCGCAGCCGCCCCGAGACCGGCCGGCCCCGGCCCAAAGGTCAGCTCAGGGGGGCACAGGGGGCTGGGCAGCCAGGGCACTGCCAGATCCGTGCCATTGGGTGGGAAATTGTGAGCAGAGCAAGGAAATGTGGGTGGGGTTTGTGATTTTTAAGTTGGAAGTGGAGTGGTGTTCGCTGAGAGGGGTGGGGAGAGCTGGGACACACAGGGACATGCCCTGAGTGGGAATTGGCCATCCCCAGGAACTGGGATTGCTGGGACACACAGGGACGTGCCCTGAGTGGGAATTGGCCATCCCTAGGGACTGGGATTGCTGGGACACACAGGGACGTGCCCTGAGTGGGAATTGGCCATCCCTAGGGACTGGGATTGCTGGGACACACAGGGACGTGCCCTGAGTGGGAATTGGCCATCCGCAGGGACTGGGATTGCTGGGAGCGCACCTGGGTGGTGGGTGTGTGGAGGAGATGCTGTCCAGGGCTGGTGAGCCCCACCTGGCATCACCTGTGGCCAGGTTGGGTGTCCCCTCTGTTGCGTGTCCCCACTGTGGGACTCTGAATGTGCTTCTTCTGGGACAGGGCTTGTTAAAAGTTAACAGCAAACTCCTGCTGGGGGAGCAGCAGAGCCCACAAAGATGCTGAGGGGTTTGGAGCATCTCTGTGAGGAGAGACTGAGGGAGCTGGGCCTGGTTAGGATGGAGGAGAGGACACAAATACCCACAGAAATGCCCAGGGGGTGTACCAGGGGATGCTGCCAGACTCTGCTCACTGGTGCCCCATGGCAGGACATGAGCAGTGGCCAGAAACTCAAATACAGTGAGTTCTACCTCAGCATGAGGAAGATTTCCACGTGGGTGGCAGAGCCCTGGAACAGCTGCCCAGGGAGGGTGTGGGGTCTCCCTCTCCAGACCCACCTGGACTCATTCTTGTGTCACCTGCTCTGAGTGGCCCTGCCTGGAGAGGGGTTGGACTGGGTGATTCCAGATGAGCCCCAGCTGCTCTGTGATCCTCTGTGTTGGACTTGCAGCTCTGATTTTCCCTTGGTGGGCTTCACACCCCCAGGTGCAGGCGGTGCAGCCAGATGTGCTCTGGCTCTGGAGGATCACATGGGTTGTGCTTTTTGGCTTCTGAGGCCAGGGGGTGCTGGCAGTTCACCCCCAGCTGCTGCAATTTGTGTCTGAGCCAAACAAAACGGGAGCATCACCTGCTTCAAAGGAAGGAATTGCAGAAAAACTGGGAATTTGCTGCTTTCTTTGATCTCTGAGTTGCTTGGATGTTCCAAGATTTGTTCTTTAGATGCTGTGTTTATCCAGTGAGCTTAAGGGAGCTGCATCCCTGCTGGAGGGAGGGAGGATGGCAGCCTCTGGCTGGGGGTTGTGCAGGAGGAGCTGTGTGGGGTGTCACAGGATTGTCCTGCTGCTGGAACCCTCCTCAGCCCCATCTGGGCAGGGATTTTTGGAAGGATTGCACTTGGTGCTCTTTTTTGCTATGGATGACCTGCTTGAGGCAGCAGCAGTCTGGGAGACACAGAGGTGGTGGAGTAAAAGAATTATTGCAAGAACTGGGTTTTTTTATGGCCAAACCAATGCATGGGGATGTGCAGGAGGGCACTGGGGTGTGCCAGGCACAGCTGGGTCCTGTCTGGGTGGGCAGACCCCAGCCTGGGCTCCAGGGACACATCCCAGCCCCTGAGACAAGGTGGTCCCACCACAGCTGGGTGTTCCTGCAGCAGTTTTGTCTGGTTTTAATCTGAGATCCCACAAATAATCTGCTTTTACTGTCCTGAACATGTTCTGTGGGGGGATTTGGGGTACTGACAGTGTGGCTGTTTCAGGTTGGGGTGAGAATTCCATCCTGCAGTTTGGGACTCAGCTGTGCTCAGGCTTGTCAGCCATGTCAGATTCCCAGTATTTCTGGGATTTTTACCAACAATAACATTCAGCCCTAGCTTGATGACCAGAAGACTGTTGAGATGATGCTGTAAACCCACTTCTCACATTATTTAACTTCCACCCTGCCACAAGCTGGGACACTTGAGCAGATTTCACCCTTCCGGTGAAGTTCCCTTTAGTAAATCACCGTTCTCCTTTGGCGTATTCTCCCGAGCTGCCCCGGGTGCAGCACTGCTGTCAGACCCGGTGCTGTTCTGCACCTTGGGCTGCAGGAGGTTGTGTTTGAGCCTGGCAGAGCAGGGGCTGAGCTGTGCTCTGTGTTGCAGGCCTGGAGGGCGAGCGCCCGGCGCGGCTGACGCGGGGCGAGGCTGACCGGGACACGTACCGCCGCAGCGCCGTGCCACGTGAGTGTGCCCCCTGTGCCCCTCCCAGGGACAATTGCCCCAGCTCCAGGGCTCCTCTCAGAGGGAAAAGGGGAAGATGAGACTCTTGGCATACTTTAGAGTCTGTATGTGAGGGTGGATGGGAGGTGTGCTGGAGTTTTGTCCGGCTGAGCTGTTTTCCCTGGGGTTGGTTCAGTAATTCTCAAACACGCTCAGTTACAGCTGTTGCTTTGCTGTGTTTAGCCCCAGTTTTAGTTCTGTGGGGTGGTTAAAGCTTTGCTCCCAGGCAGGGGGTTCTGTGGGCACTGACTGCTTCTCTTTCTGCAGCTGGTGCTGACAAGAAGGCTGAGGCTGGTGCTGGAGCAGCCACGGAATTCCAGTTTGTAAGTGTTTGCATTTGAGCTTTGCTTCCTGTTTTTGAAGGCTTTGGTGGGAGAAGCTGAAAGGTCCTGCCTGTGGGATTCTGAGGGTGTCAGAGGGGCTGGAAACTGTCACCCTTCACACACAGCTTGCTTGCTGTGGGGAAAGGATGTGGTGGGACAGAGGCCAGTGACAACTTTGAGTGCAAGCTGAGCTCTTTGGAGATCCATGGTTTTATACTTCAAAAATAACAGTATTTTAGATGTGATCCACAGAGCTGGCTGGAATGGGTTGATGCTGGTGGCACTCACCTGGCTGACCTGTGCCATCAGAGAGCTTTGGTGATGATTGTTTTTGCTGTCATTACTTGGCACTGTGATTTCTAACACTCTCCTTTTGCTGTTGCAGAGAGGTGGATTCGGTCGTGGACGTGGTCAGCCCCCACAGTAGAACTTTGTGCTCATGTTTTGTGTATAATAAAAGGGGTGAAAATGAAAATGCCACTGGGTTCACGCCTGTGTCTGTGTGAAGTGCACAAACAGAGCTCACCAAGTGCAGCGTGATTCACATCTTTGGCATCTGGAGCAGCACTTTGGGAGTGGCTAAATGCAGGTTCTGGTGCAGGAACTGTGCAGGTTTAGGGGGTGTGGAGGTGAGTCCTGGAGGAATGCAGGAGCGTTTCCCATCTGCCCAGGGCCATGCTGATTTCCGGCCGTGCAGCAGCGCTGGGCTGGGGCTGAGCTGTGCTGCCGATGGAAAACTCAGCTGTGCCAGCCCGTGTCCCTCTGATGGGGACACAGCCCGCGTGGGCGGCTCCGCGTGTCCTGCCCCGCTGCGCTGTCACCTGGGCTGTCACTTGGGGGGGACCGAGGGCGGGGTTGGCGGCAGCACCGGGAGGGGGAGCGAGTGGCGCTGTGGCCGCCGCCCGCCGCCAGATGTCGCTCGGCAGCTGGTGACTAATCGGTAACGGGCCCGGGATGGCCGCCGTGTCACCGGCGGGAGGGCGACGCTTGGGAACCTACTTGCGGTGTCAGTGGACACACGGACAACGACCCGCGGTGTCACCGGCAGGGGAATGGACACCCAGGCGGGTGTCACCGGAGCGGTAGTGGACATCGACTCGCAGTGTCAGAGCCGGGGGGATGAACAAACACACACACCCGGGATGTCACCGGGGAACGGACCCGGCCCCGCGGTGTCACCGGGGGTGGGACTGGCGCGGTGCCTGCAGCGCCCCCGCGCGGCGCAGGGCGGGCGCTGCGCTCCCCGCGGAGCCGCTGTCACAGCGGGGCCACGTGCGCGCGGCCGGCCCGGCCCTTGCGCCGTTCGCGTAAGGCCGAGCGCCTGCCGCCGCCGCTCTGCGCCGCCCGCCCCATTCCCGAACTCGGCGTGCGCCACTGGCGCAGAGCGCGCGAGCCGGGGCGGGGGCGTGGCGGCGCCGCCGGCGAGGGGGGAGCGATTCTGGAAGCCGCGCTGCGCACTTGACGTAGCGGGCGCGCCGCGAGGCCGCCGGGGCAGCGCCGCCTCCCCGCCCGGCGGCGCTACGCCGTTTGCGTAGCGAGCCCCAAGATGGCGGCGCGGTCGTCGTCGGCGGTGGCCGGAGCGCGGGCTGTGGCGGCGGCGCGGCCGGGAGCGAGGGCAGGGGTGAGGCGGGCGAAGGGAGGCAGCGCGTAGCGAGACCCACGAAGCGAGACCCAGAAAGAGACTGTCGCGGGCAGGCGGTCCCTCCGCGCCCCCCCGTCCTTCGCCGCCCGGTGGGTCCCGCCCGCCCCCGCCCTCCGGGCCGCGCGTCCTCCGGCCCCGCCGCCCCCGGAGCGGAGGATGATGAAGCTCAAGTCCAACCAGACGCGCACCTACGACGGGGACGGCTACAAGAAGCGGGCGGCCTGCCTGTGCTTCCGCAGCGAGAGCGAGGAGGAGGTGAGGGGCGAGGCCGGGCCCGGGACCCCCGAGCGACCGGGGTGGGGGGACTCGGTGCCGACGTGGTTTTATTTTTAACAGGCGTCGTTCAGCGCCGCTGGGAGAGTTGGTGCTTCCCGCTGGGCTCCTGCTCTCCGCCGGAGCCGGGGAGATGCCCGGTGGGCGGCGGGACGGGCTGAGGGGAGCGCGGGAGGGGGTTTGGCAGTGTTGGGGACCCACCACGCTGGCAGAACTTCAGTCCAGCGCATCACATGAGATGGGAGAGGAAACCTGACCTTGGATTTATAAAAAGAAACTGGGATAAAAGGGGACTGATGGAGTGCCAGAAGTTGCTGTCCAGAGAGTTTGGGAGGAAGTGGGAATTAAAGGTGGATTGGTTGGTTTGAGAGCGGCCGCGTTGCTAAGGGGCTTCATTGTCCGGGAAGTTACAGTGAGAAACTTCGCTCCGATGTGCGATTTTACACCGCTCTTTGTTGACACCTCCCGAAGGTGGGCTCGGGGTGCTCAGGGCAGCAGGGCTGCAGGTCTGCCTTCTGTGCTGCTGCTGGAGGCAGACGTACACACTCCACTGCATTTGCTGTGCCCGGGTGGCTGTGCTAAAGTCTTTGTTCTCCTGATTATCATATTTGTAGCTACAGGAAATCGGAAGGGAATGCAGACAGTTCACTGGAGGAAAGGCAATTAGCATACATCCAGTTATTATTTAACGTGAAGGAGACTGCACAAGCCCTTTGTAGCTGTGCTGGCGTGATGAGGAGTGTCAGCATTTCAGCAGAAATGGTCTGAAATGACAGCAGTGTGGCTGGTGCAGCGTTCAGTGGAACTGATCCTTCCCACGGACTTCCAGGAAATTTATGGACTGACCGTGAAGAAGACCGTCATTGTTTTGTGTGGTGATGCTGGGAATGCTCAGCATGGGTGGGTGAAGGCTCTGAAGTGCCCTGATGAATTGTCCACAATTAGTGGGACACTTTGCAGGCTCTTCTCCAGCGGTAGAGGCTTGGCCATGTGTGACCGCAGCGTGGTTTAGGGTAGAAAAGTACTTTTAACAGGTGCCTGAGGCAATCAGCATGTGACTGGTTGTGAGTTTTATTTTAACACACCTCAGGCTGCAGTTGCTCAGGCTCCAGCTGATCCCTCCAGCCTGTGACAGAGCCCTCATGGTGCTGGGGACACCGAGGTGTGTTCATGACAGGGGTCAGAGCCCTCCCTGTGCTGGGACACCAGGCTGTGTGGCAGTGTCACAGTGCTGACCCAGGAGGTCCAAGGAGGAAAGTGAACTCGTTCCCGAGGCACGCTGGTGTGGGATGGATGCTTCCAGCAGGCTCAGCTGTCAGGTTGGTGTAAGGCTGAGATTTAAAACCACTTTTGTGTCGCTTGTGTCTCTGCTGTGGTCTCCACCTACAGTGGATTGAATTTAAACTCCTTCAGGCTCTGGTTTCCAGGTAGGAGCTGGAGTAGAGCGATCTGTTTCTGGTTTCAGGCAGGGTTTGAGGGAGCTGCTCCCTGTGCTGGGTCACTCCCGGGGGTCTCAGCTCTGGGAGGTTTCTGTGTGCAGGGCAGTGCAGCCTCTGGCCGAGCTCTCGATGTCCCTGTGGTCGCTGTTGGTGGCCTCGTCCCTGAGCTCGCAGTGACAGCTGGCAGAGGCTCTGGTGCCCTGGGACAGCTCGGGGAGGGAGCAGTGGTGGCTGTGGAAGGGCTGCACTCCGGGCTGGGGTGGTTTCCTCGGGATGTGCTCTGTGTGCTGCAGGTGAGGAGCGAGGCAGGGAAGGACGGGTCTGATCTCAGAGCCTTTGAGGGGCTGTGCGTGGTACCTGAGAGCTGAACCCTGGGCTGAGGCTGCATCCTCTGCTCCCACCTGTTACAGCCCTGCCGCGGGAGCTGCCCAGGAAGGGGGCTTGGCACGAATCCATCTGGGAAAGTTCTTAGCCAATCCCACGGAATTAACCCACTGGGATGGACTCTGTGCCCAGATCCTGCACTTGGCCCTGGCCAAAAGGCATTGAAGTTAAACTTGAATCAATGAGTGAAATCAGCAAGCAGGGCACATTATTAATTTTCCTTTCTAATTATTTCTTGGGTTCATTCTCATTTGTTGGCTTTTAAATAAACTTTGAGAGAAGCTGACTGGTGTCTGCTCACTGCTACTTGCACTTTTTTTACAGCAAGGAAGGTGTTACCTGTACACATTTAAGCACAAAATATAAAATGGCTGTGGTATATTTCTTGGTTTGCTCTTGGACAATAATATTTTTTAATGTTACTGACATATTTTATTATTGATTGCTTCTATTTAAGTGGAAATTGAGATCTCTTTAAAAGGTCTCTCCAGGGAGGGGAGAAAGAGCCAGAGCCAAAGTATGTACATTAAAGAGCTATTAAAAGCTTAGTGTTTGAAAAGAAGAGAGAAGAAAAGAAGCATGTTTTGATAAATAAATTAAACTTTCTGTATTAAAGTTGAATTTTTCCTAGGACTGGCTGTTTCTCATTACTGTTCCTTTTAAGTGCTTAAGAAATAGTAGAACTTTGGTCTTGCCTTTCTTCTTCATTTCCTGCTATGAATTCAAAAATCTCATTTTTTCCCTGTTTTTGACCCCTCATTAGTTCTTGAATTAAAAAAGTTTGTCAGTGGACAAGAAGAAATAAGAGAATTCTGTTTGCTCTTACAGAGGAGGCTGCTTTCTTCTGTTCAGGTGTTTCCCCCTGACTCTTCAATTCACTGATACATTTTTCATTGAAATCTTTGCAATCCCTGGAGATGGATAAAACACCATGTCCTTGGTTTGGTGTTACATTTGCAAATAAAGAGGCTTAACAGAAAAATACTTTGTTCTTTTTTAGTTTTTAAGTGATTTATTTTTTCCTTATGCTGCTGGATGTTGCACATTGTCTCTGCATTGCATTTGGAGGCCGCTGCTTTTGGGCATGAAAAAAGCTCTGGAACGGTTTTGGAAGACTAAGCATTGGCTGAAAAGATGCCTTTGTTACATATTCCTTTAAAAAACAGCACAGGGAGAATTCATTTCAATGTGAATCTCAAATGGAGAAAAAAATTTACATTTTTTTGGGCATTGTGGAAACCCCCCAAATGGTGTGTGGTTTCCCAAACCACCATCCACATCCTCGGGCAACAGGGAGAGCTGGGACAGCAACAGGATTAATTCAGAGAGTGGGAACAGACTTCAAAGTTCCTTCCAGCAGCCAGACACCAGGACTTCGCTATTCCCATCTTTTCACATGGACTGAACTCCTGGAATATTTGCAGAGCTGTGGAAGGAGAGTGCAGAGAGAGAACTCCCAAATCCTCTGGTACCTCTGGAGTCACTTCATTGCTTGGGGTGTCCCTGCCCCTCAGCATCACCACCAGGGTGTTGTTTTTACATAACACAGGTATTTTATGTGTGGACCAGCTGTTCCATGAGGAGAAATCTCAGAAAATGCCCCTGATGCCCCAGCAGCTGGAGCCCTGCTCGGGTGGTGTTTGACAGGACAAAGAGGCACCGCTGGGCCCTGGGTCTGTGCTGGGACAGCAGCAGGTTTCAACATGCCCACATTGTGTCTGTGAAAGGACAAGCTGCTCGTTAACCACGGGCGTTTTTAAAGACTTTATTTTTTTTTTGAGAAAACGCCTCGGTTAGAATCTTTTCTGAGCGGTGAATGAGGCCTGAATGGAGCTGGGAGGAGAGAGGCTGCACCCAGGGCCGGTGCCCTGGCACGGGCTGAGCCTCGCTGGTCACGGGGAGAGCTGGGCAGGGTGGCCCTGGGAAAGCCATTGGAATGCAAACGAACCTTTTTTCTTCTCCTTCCTTCTGGCCTCTCCCCTGCCGGTTTTCCTCTCCAGCTGTGATGTAACAGGGCAGAGCTGGGATCGGAACCCCCGAGTGCGGTGGGGATCACGAGGTGCTCCTGGGCTGTCCCCTGTGCCTTGGCTCCAGTGTGAACCAGCAACAGCTAAACCACTCCGGTGTGATCCCAGCACCATATGATCATCCTGCTTTCCGTGGAACGGGCTCAGAATCCCTGTTCTGGTGGCTGGGCTTGGCTGGGTGCTCCCATCTCCTGAATGAAAGGGTTGTGGTTGGACCCAAGCGAAGTTCTCCTGGTCTGTTGCTAAGCTGTTACCACATCCCCAGGGGGATGAGGGCCAGCTTGGAAGTGGATCTCTTTCTTGCCTTTCTCCTGTCCCTCTCAGCCCTGTAGATTGTGTACAATCTGTAGGTTGTGTTCTCCGAGAGCAGGAGCATGGATGAACCTCTGCAAAACCTGGCTTTCATCTTGAAACGTGTTTTGCCTTCCCACAAAAGCAGCTGTCACTAAACAGTTTTACAAGCAATTCCATGGTCTCTTGTACGTTTCCGCACAACAAAAGAATGAAAATTGTTACATTTTCACTTCATTTGCTGGAAGCTCGGTGAGCTGTTGTGAAACTGAAGAACTGAGTCAGTTTTGTTCTGCTGCAGCTCAGGGAAAAGTGATGACTGTGGAAAGAGGGTGTGCTCCACCCTGGCTCTGTGGAGAAGGACCCAACAGTGGTGGCTGTGTCTGTTCTCTGCAGAACACCGCTTTGGAATCTCTTCCACCTCAGACCCATTTAGTGCTTGACCAGGAGCTGCTTTTCCTACCTTTTTCTCCCCGCTCTGTGTGTTCTGTACCCCCTGTTTTTTTAAAAAACCCACACCCAGCTGCCTGACTGGGTTCATCTCAGCACCCTTCAGATAAACTCCTGCAGTGTGGAGACAGGTACCAGCATTTGGGGTGCACCCAGCAGGGACTGCTGCCAGGGAACCTTATCTTTCCACGGATGGTCTCTCACAATCTGGAAAAACAACTCTTTCCCTTCTTATTAAAAAAACCAGAAAGTAACCATGTGTGTGGACTTTTATGTTCTTTTAAAATAAGGATGGTTCTCATGGTTTGCTTGGATAGAGCAAAATTAGCAAACTCAGTTCTACCTTAGAAATAGCAAACATCCATGTGGGAGTGCTGTAGGTGACATCCAG